TGAGGTCCTTCATATCAACACCCGAGAATGAGTTACAACACCACGTGAACGCCACACCACCTGGTGTCCCCATAACCATGTGAGGTCCTTCTTGTCAAAACCTACGGACGAGTTACTGCACCACGTAAACACCACACCACCCAATGTCTCCATGACCAGCCCTGGCCTGGGCCATCAACAGTAAACTATAATAATTTGTATGTTCAGTTCATGTTCCTTCTCCTTTCAGTAATGAAAGCTTTTGTTAAACGACCCACCCACCCCATGTCTTTGAATGTAATAAGTCATTTTTGTCCAATGTATATTTTCAGCCTTCAGACTGCAGAACTTTTTCAATAAACCGTTAATGATTATTATTATTATTATTATTATTATTATTATTATTATTATTATTATTATTATTATTATACACACACACACACACACACACACACACACACTCACTCACTCCACCGAATTGTACTGTAAAATTTATATTACTATTTAATTATGCTATTTTATATGGATTTGACTCATTTAATTAATATACAATACTGTACAGGTATTATTTAGTGAAGGAAAGGGCAACTGCAGGGTGTTAAAGGAACCTAACCCCCATGGTTGGCGAGGGACTACTGTACTGTGAGAACTTTTGAGAAAAAAAAAATCAAGATAGAGTATTGGACTTACTAAGGAGTGGGGAATCGAATGCTGAAGTTATGCATCAGTTACCTTATTATATTAAAGGGGTTATAATATAATAATACAGGTGCTCCTCTACTTAAGAACGTTCAACTTTCAGAGATACAAACATCATCACTGGGGGGGTTACCTGCCAGAACAGGTGTTTAATGTGGATGAGACTGGATTACAGTATTTTGAAGAAAATTCCACATAGAACAAACATTACCTATGAGGAGAAGAGTGAGCCTGGTTTTAAGGCTGTATTAAAGGGTATAGTTGTACAAACAATTGGACTTAAAAACAAGCCTCAGGAACGTAACTCATTCGTAAGTAGCGGAGGAGCACCTAATAAAATAAATAAATATTGAAGTGATAACCGTGGTAACATTATGAGATGTTCTTATTACCACCATGCTATTGTACAATTCCAGATGTTACTAAATGTTACATAATACTTCCTTGAGATAAATGTATAGTACAGTATATATCAGGTGCCTACAGGAGAGCTCAGGTTCTCAACTGGCTCAGCCATGTTAATATTGTTATTATTATCCACTCTGTATCTGTGTTTCTCTGGCGAAATAAACTTTCAATTCACGAAGTCCTACAGGCTGATATCACAAATTCATCTCAGAAAAACGGACTTCTTTAACACTCATTCCTCTCCATTTTATTGGTGTAGCTTGGAAATAAAGCAAAATAGTATAAAACTAGAATAAGGAAAATGAAGTTGTGTGTGTGAAATAATAATAATTAACGGTTTATTGAAAGAGCATGGCAGCCGGAAGGCTGAAAATATACAATTACATAATTGGGAAGTGGGTCTCTTGATTTACAAATGTTATCCAGGCAACATAAGTGATACAAATATGATATATAATAATTAGGTGTTGATAATTTTTACAATGGTTGGGACTGGGCTGTTCTTAAGCAATCAGTACATGCTCGTATGGGCTGGATGTGGTTGGAAAGGTGTGTGTCCACGTGGCCAGGACTGTAGCTTGGGGCAAAGCAGGTGTGCTCCATCCTTCAGGTTAGGTCAGATCCAGCCACACTCAGTATTGCTGTGTTTTTCCAACGAGTTGAAATTCCCACTTTTGTATATCACTTGTGGGTTGATCGTCAATCTTTGCTCTCTGTGTGCGTGCGTGGCCGGCCATAGCTGCGTCACTGACTTTCCAACCCAGCCGCCTCATATATTGTTAAATGTAATGAAACTAAAATTTGTAGAAAAATCATTACAATACAGTGCAGAACTTTAATGTAGCTTAGAAATAAAGAAAATATAATATAATATAAAACTACTGTACAGTAGTACCCTGATTTACGCGGTCAATTGAACCCACAAGGTTCCGCGTTAAGTGAAATCCGCGTAAATGGAACAACAGAACATATGGGATTACAGTAATTCCAATAGAGACTGGCCCGACCCCCAAACTCTACTTTTTCCGACACAATACCTATGTTCTAGTAAAAATAACATCTTAATTTTATGATAGTACATGCACACAGTTAATACTTAAGAGAAATACAGTCGCCAAGTTAATGTCCATTCAAATAATGGACTCAACTCCCTCCCCCTCTTCTCACACTACACTGCTGGCTCTTCCCTCTCTGAGACATTTTGGGGGGAAAACCACTAGATTTTAATAAATAATACCTCAAACTAAAGTTAGGATAATATAATTGACATTGCTGGATTCCTTGTAAGACCAGGAATATTTTGAATATAAATGTCGTATATTTTGCACAAAAGATAACATATTTACTCAGAGTAAACATTATATCTAAAATTTGTATGTCTAATGCAAAATCTATGATGTTTATATTCAAAATGATAATCATATTGTAAGAATTCCAGCAATGTAAATTATATTCTGGCTGGGTAATTTGTATGAATTTTATGAGCTAAATAAAAAAAATATATATTATACTTCACCGCGTATATGAGTAGATGAACCGCGTTAAGTGAAAGTTCGGTTCTGGCGAGGCACCGCGTATATGAGAAATCGCGTTAAGTGAAACCGCGTAAAGCGGGGTAATACTGTATAAAATAAGGAAAATGAAGAGAATGGGTGTGAAGGTGGTGTGCTATAAATGCTTGGCTGCACTCCCATCCCGATGTGGCGTCATTGCTTAAGCCCCGTCCACACGATCGAGCAGTGCCCAGCGGGCTTTGCCCGTTTACCAGGCAAAGCCTGTGTGTTGTTGTACACATGGGGGTGGTTGGCGGCAGTCATAGTCGGGCGCCGGTAGGTGGTCAGCAGTGGCGGGTGCGGTACAATCACCATGGTGTGTCGCAGGAATAATCGCCGGACAGTTAAAGCGAAGAGCGTTGTGTACTATAATAATTGCTGCTATGTGCAAAGAGAAGAACCAAATGCAGAAAAGGGAATGGTGCAAAGAGTGGTTAGGTCGAAGAAAAGTATTAGGAAGTCATGCCACGATTTTACGTGAACTGCAAGATGGACATGAGAAAGACTTCACCAATTACATGAGAATGGACCCCAACACCTTTGTACACCTTTTACAAACTCCTAGTGAACGTGGAACCATACCGGTATATAAAAAAAACAGGATACCAATATGAGGGAGAGTATATCTGCCAAGGCTCGTCTAGAGGCAACGCTCATATATCTTTCAACTGGGTGCACCTACACGTCACTTCAGTATAGAACGAGGATATCAAAACAAAGTTTGTCCCTCATAATATCTGCAACTTGTCAAGCCATGTATGGAGTACTCAAGGAAGATTACTTGCAGGTGAGATTTGTAGTACAGTACATAAAAATTCATTGAATAATGTTAGAATTATGATATGCATAGACAGGAAGCTATGGGACTAGAGTGAGGAGAGCGGCAGGAACGAAGAACACACATGAATCTCCTTGTTACATAATACATATACAATCTCCCGTTTATTGTCACGCCAATAATGTTCATTGCATAAGTTTATTTGGTTATACACTGGACATCTGGACCGAGCGGGCAACATATACGTATTACATTTGCAGTACTTAACTCAGGTTTTACAAAGTACTAGCTTACGTTCTGTCAGTATCTCTGTTCATTCCTCACCGACTTGAGGACCCCGACCCCCGAGGTCAGCGGTGGTGTAGTGATGAGCTGTTTTTGACAGTCACGTGAGGTTCCAATAATAACACGTGTCTTGTATTGCAAGCTTGTGTAATGTTGAATATTAATGACAATATTATAGGAATATCAGTTTTCGGGTTTTATCGTTTGTCTGGCAGAGTCGTCGCTCCATATCCGGCAGCAAACCACCAGACAGGTGGACCATGATTTCGCTCAACGACTGGCACGAGCAATCCGCTGGTTTGCCCGCCAATTTTGCCCGATAACGGGCATTTAGCGCGTGCCCGCCGGGCACTGCTCGATCGTGTGGACGGGCCTTTACACACAGCACCATGCGACAGCCACACATGTATGATTCAGCTGGTTGACTGCCTGGCTGAAGTGGGTCGCATATCCCAGAGGACGGTTTGGGTGTGAAGGAACCTTTTTTTTTTCTTTTTTTCATATTCATAAAATATGGGCTGTTGTATTTTATGATATGCTATGTATCAATTTTTTATTTATCCTAGCAATAAATATGGCAGCTCATCTCTGTTGGGATTTGTCTTCAAGCTTATGATTCTAGCTGATTTTGGACTCGAGATATCAGGTTATACTGTACAGTAATTGGTTCTGTTAGGGGGCTCATTTTTTATGGTTATGCATTAGGAGAGAGCAAAATAAATTTAATGGGGCACCACTGTCCAGTGTGCTTGTTCTTGCATTACCCCCTGAACCGTAGATTAGCTCTTATTATTATTTTATTATCAGTACCATGTATAATGCCATTGCTGTAAAGTTTTATATCATGCAATCTTGCAAATATGTATTAATACTATTTGAACTGTGCCTCCCAAGTAATGTTTGAGTTATCCGAAGTCACCCCAACTCAAACACAATTTTCACATACTGTACCTCCATTCAAGTTATATTTTCAGCTATAGCTATAGGATATATCAAGCACCACAGATTGTCTCTAAATTTTCAAGTAAGACATGTTTCTATTAGTTTTCACTCGTGTAGTTATATTATTGTGTGTTGTACTCTGGTACGCTCCTGTTAGAGAAAGTTTTGCAGCATTTGAATTTAAAAAATGGATTTGATTATTGACTTCCATTTATAACTTACACTTTAAACTAGCAAATGATACTCACATATCAAAACTACATAGTTAGGGCAACAATTTGATACCAAGAAAACTTTGCTTGCTGTAGCTCTCTATCTGTCACCCCATCTTATGGTACCTTGTTTTATATTTTAAGTGAGGAACCAGTGAGAAAGCATCTGAAGAATGTGTATGCCACCTTTACCCTGGCCACCATTGCCGCCTCAGCTGGTGGCTATGTTCACATGTTTAGCTCCTACATTGGAGCTGGGCTGTTGACTGGCTTGGGAGCTTTTGGAACACTGATCTGGCTTATGATGACTCCTTACAATGACAAGAACCAGATCCAGCGCCTTTCTCTTCTTGGCACCTTTGCTTTCCTTTCTGGATGCAACCTTGGTCCTCTTCTTGATCTGGCTGTTATGGTCAACCCTGCTCTGGTAAGTTTATATTTTGCCCCCTCTTTGTTGTCTTAAAGGCAGATGCTATTTGTCTACATGTTTTTAAAATTCTATGCCAGCACTGTACATCCCAGACCGTAGTTCGTGAAACGGTCTAGAGGGAGGGTGTAAAGTCTGCCCCCACCCTTACTGTATGGCGCGTCGCTGTCCAGCCATCGCCTCCAACATACAAACTAGCACCCTCACAGTTCAACAATCGAGTTCTGATACTTCCATTTCTCAATAAGGACTGAGAAAGGATGCCATTGTTTTATTTAATAAATTTATGAAATAATTTAGCTAATCAAGTTTTACAGTACAGTATTGACATAATAGGTTAAATCACTATTAGATAATCATGGCATTCTGTACAATACAGAATACACAGTGGAGACAGTGTGTCTTGGTCGTTGGGTCTACCGCACATAGGTAACCTTGATTCCTACAATGGATGACATACGAGTGACATATGCTTTTCAATGACGACCTGTAGCCTATCCGACATGGATGCCACAAGATCTTGCAACAGTTCCAGTCTTCCCCTTGTAGTATTCCCACTGTCTGTTAATGTGTACCATAATTTGATTACCGGTCAGTTTCTCTTTATTCTCCCACAGTTGACCATGTATACACACAACCACACATGCTATATAACGTTTATGTCTGTTTTCTTGCTGGGCCATTCTAGGAGCTCAAGGTTGTCCTGCCTCCCAAACCTCTGTTGACATTATGGTGCACATTAACAGACAGTGTGGATACTACTGTACTACTACGAACCATATTATCACTTGCATCATGCATACTATACTGACTACCAATCTCAGGGAAAATACAGCTTGTTTTGTAAAGAGTATGTCATGATATCTAATAATGATGTAACCTGTTATGTCAAATAATGTAAAGCCTGATTGGATAAATTGTTTTGTGAATTTATTAAACAAAACTATAACATCCTTACCCAGTCCTTATTGGGAATTGAAAGTATTAGAGCTCGATTGTTATACTGCGAGGGTGCTAGTTTGTGAGTTGGAGACGATGACTGGACAGCGATCAGTGGAGCCACAGCTTGAAATTTTTGGCTTATCTTGACAAATTTACCCCAACATTGAAAGCTTGAAAGAAAATTTTGGAAACCTTCCATAAATTAAAACATTTTTTCTCTTAACCCTTAAGCCCTGGGTTAGGGTAATGCTGGCAATACCCCCCCCTCCCCCCCCGTGGGGTTAAATCGAGAAAAAATAAATTTTTTCCAAAAATTATAATAATAAAAAATGGCGGGAAAATAGGCGAACGTTCTGGAACGTCACCCGGGACCTAAGGGTTAATTTTCTGCTTTCATAAAAGAAATTACAATATTCTTTAGGCACTTAGTTTAAGTAATTTAGCACCCCTGGGCCCATGATAGCCGATTTTACACCTCTATGCAACGCAAATTTTCCTGCTTTCATTTTGACAGAAATGTTAAAAAAATATATACAGTATGTATGTATATATATATATATATATATATATATATATATATATATATATATATATATATATATATATATATATATATATATATATATATATATGTATGTATGTATGTATGTATGTATGTATGTATGTATGTATGTATGTATGTATGTATGTATGTATGTATGTATGTATGTATGTATGTATGTATGTATGTATGTATGTATGTATGTATGTCATGTAAATCCACAATGAAAACGTGGATAAGATAAATCTTGATAAAATCACACGGGAAAATGGAAACAACGGAGTACCTTAGCTTTCGTCTTTATTCAAGACGAAAGCGACAATTAAAATTTATTACCCCCTGTATTTAGTAAGCTATACTAAATTATTACTACAGTACTATAGTATGTAGTCTACCGAACTAGAGATGGTCTACCAGGACATTGACACTAGCGTCCATTAACCTAACTTAACTTAACCAAACATGGGTTGAGTTACATTAATGGACGTTACAGTGTAAATAACCTGACCTAACGTGACCCAACCTGACTTGACCTGTCTTGACTCTACATTGTAAATATCCCGGTAGACCAACTATCAATTAGGTATTTCACATACTATAGTAGCACCATTTTAATTTAGTTTCATCTCCAACAGTCCAACAAATACCATATGTTTAGTCTTCTTTTGTAATGCAGAATACCAGGTGTTAATTTTCATTTGATTATCTATTATTTTTGTGTATTTCATATATTTTTTTGCATTTTGTAAAATTGTATTGCTTAAAATTTAAATACAGTAATTGTAAGTGGATATAATTTTGTCATGCCTTGAATTTTTTAGCTGTCTGGAAAAATTCAGTCAAAAATTTGGTAAAATTTGTATTTTCATGAGTGGCATCACTGAAAAGACATGCTATCCAGTAAGGGTGGGGCCAGAATTCACACTCACCAACAGTATCAAGAACTTCAGTCTGGGATTGTACATGTACAGTAGTCGCTTAACACTTTGTGTATGGGTTCCTCTCTGAGCTGAATAAATTTACTGACATTATCCAGATAAAATATTAATAGTGGTGTATTTTTTAAATACCCTGAACTGTGTGTTAAATTTTAGAGTGAAAAGTTAGGCTTAACCCATTCATTATAGGGATTCCACTTATCATTGTATTTGGCTAACTAGGCTAAAGAAAAGCTATTTCTTAAATTTATAAAATGTTACCAGGAACACAAAAAACAAATGACACTAATATTTTTGGTTTGTTGTTACATGTTTCCCTCACATCCAGTACAGTACTGTATGTATTTTATAAATACGTGTGGTAATCCGAATTAGTACAGTGGGGTATGCTATAACGAGTCTAATTGGTTCTCGAACCTTGTTCGTTATAGCATTCGTTCGTTATAGGATTAATCCGCTCCAGGCCCCCAAATACAACCACTTAACACTGAAAAATATACCGTATATACTCGTGTATAGTTCGAGTTTTTATGACCAAATTTTTAGGCAAAAAATTGGGGGTCGTCCTATACATGCATAATAGTTCTGTTAGGTTGAACCCGTGCATGATGGGAAGGGCGAGGAGCAACTTTTAGCTTCAGACATGAAAAATATTTACCATTTACTGCCAGTAAACAATGGAAACGTAAAATATGTACCAATTAGTAATGAAAAGTTGTGCAGTTCCTTCAGCAAATGAAGCTCATCAACTTACAATAGGCTAAATTACCTTACAATGTGCTTTCAGTAGTCTATGTTGAAGTTCTTAGCACAGGCTAACTTATCATATCATATACGGTATCACAGTTCTCATTGATCTACAAAAAATACCGGCAATAAAAACCTTTTCGATATTTCACACTTCATATAATACCCGGTAATCTACTTCAACCTCCTATTGTTTACAACGACGCATGACGCACCACCAGCTGTTGAGTGTATCAGCTTGACGGTACACGTGTTTTTCGAATCGTTTTCAGTTAAAAAACTGTTACATCACATGTATATTTTACCTTAACTGTGCCTGAATGAATATATTCTCGGAAATAAATAGTAGTTTTGCTGAAACGTGATGTATTTTAATGTAAAATAGGATAAAATACATGACGAAAACAAAAGACTTTACCTAACCTTCCGATGTTCAAGAGAAGTTACTCGTTTTTTTAATAGTTTTTGGTTAAAATATTGTTATATTACAATGGTATTCTATTCATACTGTGCTTGATATAATGCATTCACGGAAATGAAATATTTTTGCTGAAATGACGTACATATTACAGTGGAAAGTGGGATAAAGTCGTGACGAAAACAATTACTTTCGCTTTCTTTCGTTCAAAAGATGTTACCGTAATCGCTTTTCGAATGGTTTTCAGTTAAAAAACTGTTGTATTACAATAATATTCTATCCTAATTGACTTGAATAAATACTACGATACCATATTTCTGAATATTTTCATTAAAATCCATCAAAATCATTTTCCTTGTCATCGTCTGCAGCACCAAACAGCTTCTCCCAGTCCTCTCCTTGATCAGGGCTAGAGGCTGCGTGTTTTTCGAATCGTTTTCAGTTAAAAAACTGTTACATCACATGTATATTTTACCTAAACTGTGCCTGAATGAATATATTCTCGGAAATAAATAGTAGTTTTGCTGAAACGTGATGTATTTCAATGTAAAATAGGTTAAAATACATGACGAAAACAAAAGACTTTACCTAACCTTCCGATGTTCAAGAGATGTTACTCGTTTTTATAATAGTTTTCGGTTAAAATTCTGTTATATTACAATGATATTCTATTCATACTGTGCTTGATATAATGCATTCACGGAAATGTAATATTTTTGCTGAAATGACGTACGTATTACAGTGGAAAGTGGGATAAAATCGTGACGAAAACAATGACTTGCTTTCTTTCGTTCAAAAGATATTACCGTAATCGCTTTTTGAATGGTTTAGTTAAAAAACTGTTGTATTACAATAATATTCCCTCCTAATTGACTTGAATAAATACTTGAATGGAAATATACATTATTTTTGTTGAAACTACCTGCATTTCAGTGTAAAGTGGTGTAAAGTGTCGTGTCGTAATAATAAGTGGTAAACAATTTGCCTTCGGCACTCGGTGTTTCAGGCACGGCGAGCCTCAGTTTATAGGACGTAGAGCGTTTTTACTGAAGATTTTGTTGTTCCATTACCCTCAAAAGTCGACCTATAAACGAGGAATATCATAAATTAACGATTTCTTGGTCAAAAAATCAGGGTCGACCTATAAACGAGGGGGGGTTATAGACGAGTATATACGGTAATATAAAATTGTACAAATTGTAAAAAAGTGCATAAATATGCATCTAAACTCCTGAAATAAAGAATATCATTAATACTTGTAATAAAAAACAATAAATTGGTAAAAAAAAATAAATAAAAAAAAAATAATAAAAAATTACTGTTCGTTGTAGGAATTTCGTTCGTTATAGCATTCTCAATTTTATAGGTAAAACCGTTCGTTATAGGAATATTCGTAGTAGAATCCGTTCGTTATAGCATACCCCACTGTACTGTAATTATTATTTTGGAAATTAAATTATGCCCATGGAACTAACCATTGTGGCATCATTGTCAGCCAGGAGTCAAGCCAGAGCAATGTCTGGAAAGACATTTAGTTAGGTTACAGTATGGTACTTACATTACATTTTAGACCATAAAAATAAAGAGTGGAAGGTCAGAAATAATATCAACAGGGGGGAATTTGGCTGTAACTTACTCACCTCTTTACCTAGGAAATTTATAATTCATACTAGTTTACTGATTCCAGCATCTTCATGGAATACAACCTCCGACATAAATTAAATTACTCTAGTGTGTTGTACATGTATTTGAAAATCCAGTACTCCTGCATTCTGAGTTCAGTATTAAGTAAACTATCTCACTCGGTTTCTAAAATACCCTGTACAGGTACTACTGTAATACAGTAATAGTATATGATTACAGTATACTAATTAAAGCTCAGTCGATATACTGTGTGTTGATCTTTTGTAGACTTTTAATTATTCTTGACTTTGTGCTTTATTTTAATAGCAGGACTAATGAAATAATGTAAAGACATGTACATAAAAGTTTTAGAACCTGTAAGCAAAAGAAAATTGCTGGAAGTGGAAAAATATGGGTTTTTCACAGCCAAATTGCTAATCTTGACCAGGACAATTAATGTATACCAAATATTTTATTTATTTTTTAATATACAGTATTCATGTTTTTCCTCAGATTCTACAAGCACTGCTTGGCACAAGCGTGGTGTTTGCCTGCTTCTCCCTGTCTGCCCTGTATGCTCCCCGAGGCCAGTATTTGTACCTGGGTGGCACATTGCTGTCTGCACTATCCACACTCTTCTGGCTTTCCATGCTCAATATCTTCTTTGGGTCTCGTCTGCTCTTCCAGGTCAGTCTTCGTCGGTAATTTGATGTGTAACTCGGTAGGTTTCACGTAAATGGCACTGACACATTTTGTAACTAAATAGAGTAAGTTAATTTTTAAACATTAATTGATATTGCCACCTTTTTCAGTAACTAATTATGTTTTGATTAAATCCCTTTATTACACCATGTGGCATTACCTAGTTAGGGAGATTACTATAATTACAGTACCAAGATAAAAGTGAAAGTAAGTCCCATTGGCAGTACAGACACAGCACACTGAATACTAAGCCTTTGGTAATCAAGCCCAGCACTGCACTTCACAAACTGTCAAGTTAGGTACCCGTTCACAGACAAATGGACCGGGGATTACCCCATGCACAAACCAGTGACCTATAACACAAGAGGTGCTTGTGTGTCATAAATGCTAACACAAAAAAAACACCAGAGGTTCATGATTAAAACAATCCTGTTAAAGGTATAGAAACTTCATATAGCTACATTAGATTCTTTAAAGGTGATATCTGTTTTTGTTAACCCAATAACTGCGACATACATTCTTGAATGGTAAGCTGAGAAGTGGAACATACATTCTGAAGGTCAGAGCATTTTGAATGCAGCACCCAAAAAAATTTATATCTCGCGGGGTCAAGTATGGGATGCTTACACTCGCCAGTTTCTTGAGTCCCCCCGCTGAGACGTACATTTTCTCTATCCTCCATTTCAGAAACCTCACGACGTCTCATGTTGATGTTGTATATACGAGTATACTGTATCTAAAATAACGAATGATTATACATGTGTTACCCTAAGATATACCCTGTATATACATTCTTACAGCTGAAACATTCGTGATCCATTGCAAGCTTCAACTACACAGTATTTGCTTTTAGTGAAATTGTCAAATAAGTCGAGTGTTGGGGTGAGCAATAGAGGTTAAAATCCTTTTTCCACCCTATGAGAGACTGACGGCCAAACTAAGGTAAGTAATGGACTCCTATTTGGTTTCCAAATTCTTCTACTTACAACATGCCCTGACAATTCGCGGATGACAACCTGGATGTACCCAAGAATGTCTAAGGTAGTTTAAAAGTTTCTGGCATTTTTGTGACCAGGACTGGGAGCCATTCCTTCTAGAGACAGTAATTTCTTTTACATGAGGGTAGACTCTTACATTTTTTCCAAATGTTGTCTTTGTTTCTGATTATTTGTAAGAGGATTTTCCCATTATTCTTAATTTGTATGTTTTGTGTGTCTGTGTGTGTACACAGACACACACATACAGCATATACAATACAGATAAAAAAATTGTCTGAAGGGCAAATGTTCACAGATTTGGCTATTCGTCGCCATTTTGAGAATTTAACCCCTGCAAAGTTTAAGGACATGCTGTACTGTCTTTTAATCCACAAGAGTTAAAAAAATGTTTTGAAAGTCACTATACAGATTTTTTTTGTTCCACACTGGGGGTTGATCAGCGAATCACTCTACTGCAGTTATTGGGTTAATACACTTTTTGGTTGCTTTTATGAAGTTCTGTATAGGAAAAATTTTCAACTCAGTCAGTAACCTTACCATGTTTCAGCTTTGTCTTGAGCTAATTCTAAAACAGGGAACCTCATAATCCATTGTCACATAAATTTCACTTCAATGGGAAGTACAGTACTGTATAGGTGTACATTGATAACTGACGAATATAGGCTGGGAAAAGTCGTTGTTTAGTGAATCAACGGTTATTGAAACAATCTCATAAGAACATAACACATTCAAGGGGTTAGGGACCGGCCACCCTCCAAAAACTCCCATCTGTCCTTCATATATCTCTGTCGTGCACACTCAAGCAAGAAAATAAAGCAGACATATAAGGCAAGTATAATAACCCTTAAATAAGCAATGTAAAGCATAAATTGAGACTGTTACTTACCTGTGTTGAGGATGGTAGAGACAGTCTAGGGTGGCAAGTTCAAGTGTCTAGCACTCTTTGGTGGTCCATCACCACTCTCATTACACTTTATTATGCCTTATGTCTTATCACATCAAGCTACCCAGCACATGAGGAACTATCACTGGGGCATTCAGGCATGATTCAGTAACACACTAACTCAGAAATGACGAAAAAACACGAAGTCAGAGACATAGTAAGTTTAAACAAGAGCAATGACAGCGGGAATGAGTCAGGGCAATGTGCAGAGCCCTCTCGTGGCAAGAATTCGCACCACGCCACCATCCGCCAATTTCGAAACAGCCTTGTCGCTCCTCTGCTGATAGTCGGATCTCCGGGGTATCGACGAAATCTTGTGGGGTATTTCCCCTGTGTGTAATTGCTGGTTGTGCGAAGCAGCGGTTAACGGGACATCGGTTTTCGGGGTACACCTATATTTGGTACATTTGTTTTAATGATCATAATTTTGAGATTCTGTAAAGGACTAAATATAAGTAAATACCAATCTCTGAAAAGGTACCTGTACTGTACGCATGTTTTAACAAATTTCAGGTGAACTTGTACGTTGGACTAGCTGTGATGTGCGGCTTCATTGTTTATGACACACAGAATATTTTGGAAAAGGCTCGTCGTGGAGACAAGGATTATGTAATGCACAGCGTAGAACTCTTCATTGACTTCATTGCTGTTTTCAAGCGTCTTCTCATCATCCTGACAGACAAAGTAAGCTTATTATTGGCTAGATTAGATTTATGTTTACTGAAGCATAGAATGATACTGGCATTTTTGCATAGGCAAATATACATGTAATAGTGTTAACTGACGTACATGCATAAAATATATAAATAGTTGGGAAAAGTACTGTACTATTAGAAGTAAAATGTTAAACTTTCAGGAAGGTAGGGAGCACAATGAAGAATGTTGAAATGTGAAAGCATTTTACGAAAGATAGAAGTTTATTATTATTGAGAATATACCTAACAGGTGGACCTTGTTTAATGCTGGGGTTAGGTTCTGTGAAAAGAGCACTAATTGAATCGGTGCTAAAAGGGGTTGTTACACCATTATATACATGGAGATCTGTTCCTACACTTGTTACCTATATCCCAAAACAGTATATTTGGGGGTATATTTGGATATGAGTAAACACATTATTGCACTATTTATTCAACCTGTTGAATACAACTTGTAACATTATTCTATCCATCCAGCCATCAGCTGATGAAGTCACATACTCACACTTTCTCAGGTAGGTGGTGGGGGGGAGGGGAAGCTGCATGGGGGGACTGTAGGTGGAAAAGGAAAAGTTATCGTACTGCAATCGGTAAGGCAACTGTGTCTCCATTGTTGAAAAGTAGCAGGGGCTACCTGTAATAATGAAGGAGGTGGTGGTATGAGAAAGAGAGAGACTAAAAGGAAGGATGTGATAGAGGGGAGGGTTTTGAATGTTTAGAAAATAGAGGCATATGTGTTTGCTCAGAACCCACAATGCCTCTTTCTTTGATAATGGATGAGTTAATGGTGTGTCACAAGAAGCAGCTGAAGTAGACCAGATGAAAATATTGGGACTTGTAAAAAGGAAATGCCATAGCAGTACACTTCTGTTGCAGGGCCAGGGGGAATAAAAGACCATGAATGGAGAGCCTATTTTTCTTTTGATTCTGGCCACCATGCACCAGGGATTAGTGTTAAAATCCTATTTTTAAGCAGAGTCCATAGCCAGGCAGGTCACGAATAGACTACATTTTCGGTCACAGCAAACTAGCCTTTACAGGCTAAATTGCTGGTCACTGCAAAATAGTGAGACAAGCTGTTTTGGGCTATTTTGCTGGTCCATTGTTTATGTAAAAATTTCTGGTAGACATATGCAATTTCTTCATTTTTTTCTACTGTTACATGCCCACACAATCATTCATAAAAATGTACAAAATCAATATTACAAAAAAATTTATGTAAGGTCAAAAACATAAAAGGAATAAACATGCACTGGAGTTAACACTCACAGCGAGGGAAGGGAAGGGGGATATTTTAGTTGTTGTCTTGTGTCCCATGTATAGTGAAAATTGCCAAATGACAATGCATTTTTTCTTTTCTTTTCTATTATTATTCTTATGAAGCAAGTTCAATATTTATATACCGAAGTGAAAATAACGCACACGGTATTTGCACACTTTGTCAAATCCCTTCCCTGCCTTATCCATATACTAATTACAGTACAGTATGTAACAAAATTGAGGAATAATTGATCTTGAATTGCAAAAATCCACATTCTGCCCCACTGAGGATTTTTGGCAAAGAGGATAAAGTAATGTAGAGACAAGTGCATGGATCTCAGTACTCACCTTAAGAGTCACCCCAGCACTACCCAGGGGCATTCTTCGTGTTACAGTGGACCTCACTACTCGCATAAAGATCCCCCCCCCCCCACCGTATGCCACCTGAAGTTTAACTACCCCAACGCTACCAGGGGGCATGAGGGTATTCTTCAGTGGACAGTAGGCTTTGTGCCACCTGGTGGTTGTTGTATATTTTTAACTAAGGTGTGCAAATATTAAAAACTTTATTTAGATTACAGGTATACTGTAAGTGTGCATATCTTCAATAGTCATGTTTTTATTACAGTAATTACTCTTATATCATTACTTTTATTATATAAGCAATGGACCAGTAAAACATCCCAAAACAAGCTGTCAGGTTATTTTGCCATGACCAGTACTTTAGCCACTGCCTAAATTAAGAGAGATCCAAGATGGTGGATCAGTTCTGGATTCATGGCAGAGGTTGGTAGCTGAGTAGATGTGAGTGCTGCTTGGGTGGACACAAGCTCAAAGCAGGCCTCCTTCCTATAGAGGGCAACCTTTGTTTTTGTCTTTCTCATTTGAAGGCCGGGAATGGGTTGGGGAAGAATGGGTGATTGTAAGGTCAGCCCCTTCCTCCCCTGATGCCAGTGGGGATAAAGCGTGGTGAACTATCCCCCTATTCTAGGCATGCACAGTAAGATATAGGATTTTTATATCTTGATCAGATACCATTCATCAGATTCCACCCTCTCCCTTTTTTTCCAATGTTAAAATATTTGTTTCTTCTTTCAGGAGGCTCAGAGTAAGAAGAAGAGGAAGGATTAATGCATCAACATTTAGTGTAGATCATAAATAATAGTTTTAAGTTTGTGATAGCAAGAAAAGTGTCACAGGTTTATTATACCAATGTCTACGATGGATTTTTTTTTCCTTTTTTTTATGTTGATCAAGATTGCTGTCAAATTTTTAGGTGTTTGGTTTTGAAATTTGATGTTCAGTTCAGAAGCAGCAACTGTACTTGAGACGTCAAGAAGAAGATAACATGGATGAAAAAATTGTCAATGCAGCTTGATGGAAAGAAAGATGGCTTATTTGTGTGAGGGAAGTTACACAAGATGTTTTGATCATAGTACCATACTCTATGTGATTTGGGCAAGAATTGGAATGATGGAAATCTGACAAATTTATTATCACTGTGCTGCACTTTGCTCACCTATGTCTAGGAGCCAGTACAAAATGCACACAAGTCGTGTTGCCTCGTACAGTTACTTTGTCAGGATTTCTCCCTCAAGTATCATACCACCTGGTAACTTCCAACCAAGCATCAACAATTTGGTTCTCCAGCATGTGAGGACATGTTCCATTTATTATGGCAACCAGTCATACTTTTTTGTACTTTGAGATAGGATAAGGTCATCATTTGTAAGATACAAATCACACACACATACATATTTTGAGCAGTAGTTAGTACCTATGTTGTTTGTGTAGCTCTGGTTCATTTAACACCCATGCCATTGTCCAAAAAACATTGATCAGGGGTACATTTTTGAGACCCAAGTGTGTGGTATACTAATTATCCAAGCCTAAATTAGGCATTGATTTACAGATGATTTCATACATCCCTTCACAGAAATCTCCACTCTGCTTTGTTTGTACAGACTTGGAAAGTTATTGTTTAGTTAATTTTTGTGTATACAGGTATAGCAGTGAAGGATGAATTAAAGCTTTACACCAAATCATGGAAAATGGCTCATCATCAGTTGGGTCATTGTGAATACTATATATTTTACCCCATAAATATGAATAGATTTTATAAAGTATTGGCGCCTTCACTTGGTTTTCTGTATTCGTAGTGCGAGTTTTGTTGCCACAGCAAGTGGAATTACTGTGATTTTCTTCAAAGAAACTAATCAGTGGTGTGTGTAATATTAGAGATGTAATGTTTATAATTATGTTATATACTGTACATTAGTAAAGGAAGGGTTAATCCTATGTAGTGTATATTGTCGTTTCATTATGAATAAAAAGTTTTATGCTTTTAAGTTCACATTTCAGAAGGATTTTGTTATAGCAAATACAGAATATTAAAATTAAGGATATTTGCTTATGTTATGGTACTTTGCATATTTTTGCTTTCTGTTGGGGTAATTTTTTGTAATTATGGTATATTTTTAGACTACACTTACATAATCATGAACATCTAAGCTGATGTAACTAAAAGGATGCCCATGATTAAGCACTTCTTTTTATAATGGTCTGTGGCTTTCACAAGTTCTTGCTTAAAAAATGGTAAAATATTTTGTCCAGTTTATATATTTTTATAAACTTTCCATAATACAGAATAGGTATTCGTGAAAGAGATGGCACGTTTTAATTTTTGGAAACTGCCGACAGAATGCCACAATAATGTTCGGCAGTGAGACAGTGAGTTGAAGGACACCACCACCTGCCTTTAAATATAATAGGTAACCCCAGATGGTATGACCTGGTCTTTGTCTTATCCATTAATAATGAATAGCCTGGAATGTGTAGCTGAAAGGCTACTTAATCTCGCAAAGCCCATCACCATTATTGAAGTAGTAATGTTTTCTGTAGCACTTTACTGTATGAATTACTTTGGCAGAGTCATCCCACCAGATAATATATTGAAGCATTTATATACCTAAACATGGAGGAGTGACTCAATGAAAAGTGTTGTGATTTTGTTTAAGTGCAGGAAACCTGGGATAAGGACTTGTTTCATGGACTGTTGATGATGGTGTGACCTAAATTTTCTTCCTTCATTTGATTCATCATGAAGTAATTTTTTTTCTATTTTAATAAACTTCAATATCTTAGTTACCTGGATCCTGATTATATATGTTTTTAACTATCCCTCTATATCTTAATTAGTGTGAACATATATGTAAAGATACTGTGAAATTGGCTTGAAGTACCATGTTCAAGATGGTGAATGATCTGCATTTTGGTAACCAAATGTAGGTACTAGAGATACTGTTGTTGATTATACAATCGACAATATATGAGTGTGTTGTCAGAGATGGTTAATTGGAGATTTGTGAAAAATTACTGTACTCAATATTTTCTTGATGTCATAATTATCAATAAAATACTTTTCAACATTTGTATGTATATTTATATAAATTTATATATTTTCAAGGGTTATGTTCCTAGAGAATGTTGACAAAATTAATTTTAATAACGTGACTTAAGAAATTGGATCAGTTCCAAGTCCAAATACAGGGGGTCCTCGCTTAACATCTGGGTTGCATTCCTAAAAACATGACGTTATACAAAACGTTAAGCGGATCAATTTCTATAGAAAATAGTGCATACATATACAACTACAGTGATCCCTCGGTTAACGAACGCCTCGGTTAATGAATTACCTTCCATAAGAATATTCAATTCGGTTAACGAAATCGTGTCAACGTGTTTTCGCCTGCTCACCAGCTGTAGTATTAGTCCGCCAATACAGTAATCGGTTTTAGGGCTTAAATTCGTTACCATTTGAGTAAATATCAAGAAGGTTGTACTATTCAATAATTTTCCAAGTTTTATATTAAAATTTTTAAGTCATTTTAACAATTATTTAACATAATTGAAGTACAGGGAATTAGTTTTTAGTGCGCCAAACAGCCACTTGACTCGCCCAGAATGGCGACAGTTTGTGTGTCTGCTCGGAGGAGGAAGCATCTTGCTTGAGACACTCTTGCACATAAAACTATTTTTACGTTTTTACAGTACAATTATTGGTCATTCTGAAATTTATTTTACATATTGACAATATATAGTGCAGTGTTGATTTAAAGAAACCATTGTTTCAATGGGATTTTGGGTAATTGGTTCCAGCTCACCGAAAATTACATTCAAAGTAAAAAAAAATGCAGTAAAGTACACTTACTTTGAGGTGTGTATGTAGAAGGCTCCTGGTTTATGATGATGATGATGATGATGATGATGGGAATTAGAAGTGGGGGTGGAAGAGAAATCACCCCATGCTTGATGCCGTCATTTCACCCATAAAATTTTCAGTTCACTAGGTGTAATTCAAGATTATTTTCTTTAAATCAACACTGCACTGCACTATATATTGTCTATGTTAAATAAATTTCAGAATGATCAATAGTTGTACTGTAAAAACGTAAAAATACTCTTGTGTTCAAGAGACCCACAAGCAAGATGTTTCCTCCACTGAACAGAGATACAAATTGAGGCCTTGGTGGGTGAGTGAAGTGACTGATGGGCACACCAAAAACTAGTTCCCTCTACTGCAATTATGTTAAATAAGTGTTAAAATGACTCAAAAAATTAATATAAAACTTGGAAAATTATTGAATAGTACAACCTTCTTGATATTTATTCCAATTTTAACGAATGTTAGCCCCAGAACCGATTTCTGAATTGGCGGACTAATCTTCCAGCTGGTGAGCAAGCCAAAGCATGTCAAAATATTTTCGTAAGAATTTCGTTAACGGAATTTTTTTTCATTAACCGAGGGACCACTGTACTTACTGTATGCCACTCCCAACCCACTAGATTTAGCAAGAAAAATCTTTACTTTCCCATTATAGTAAAGATTGAATACATACATAGTACAGTACAGTAGACCTAAATGTAAAGTGAATGATTGTAATAATTAGGGTACTATAATAGATAAATATTACTCGCCCAGTCCTTTATATCGTTTGATTCATAGGTGACATGCCCGAAAATGAGCCTGACCATCGGGAACCCAAAGCTCGTATAGGGAGACGTTACCTCAAGAACGTGCTTCAGGCACTATAATGGGTCAGGATCCTGATCCACCGGGTAAGACTACCAACGTGCAAATCGGCGGGATGGCCTACTGTTGCCACAACTCAGGCGTCAAGTACCCTAATGATATTTCCCTCAAACCCCCCAAAAATGTAACCAACACTAAAAAACAAATTGTATATGGCCGAACGAACAAAGTGTTAAGATGATATCTTTGGGATATGGAAATTACTATTCTCTGGTGTTTGTGAGGTTGGTTTTGATGCATTTTCACCATAATTCTCATAATTTAGATTCATTTAGCACCAGGTTGATAAAATATTATCCTAAAAGAATCCCTCACTGAACACCATGAGTCATTTGTTTACAAAGGGCAAACAGCTGATTGGCTTACCACAACATGTGTTCAACACGGTAATTTAGTACAGTAAGGCCGTGTATTTATCACCACTTAATAAATACTATTGTAGTGTATTTATTATCACTTAAGTACAGTATTGTTATAGTGTACAATACAGTATTGTGTGTGTGCCTATATCCTGGTTTATTCATTCATCATTTGTCTAAGTGTATTAAGTAGCCAAATTGAGCCATCATATATCACTCAAAGGTAGTAAATAACGTTTTTAGGAAGGTATCTTCATATCAGTGATACTGTGACCCTTGTTGAAAGCTGGTCTGCTGAAAGTTCACAAGAATGCATCTTGAGTAAATAACCTTGTACAGCTTATCCTTTTATTTTCAAGTCATATTACAATTAATTACATACAGTATTGTATTTTTTCTATATTACTGAAGATGTTATATAAATCATGATAAACCATAAGAGGCTAATCATATGAGAATATAATACTGAATCGGTAAATAAATAAACCTGACAAATGTGGCAGCAACTGATCAGTGCCAACCTGCTTACATACTCTAAGTGTCTTAATTCTCAGTAGACCTATAGCAAATCTGATTAGACTACTGTACAGTATTCAGTAAGTGTGGTTCTTTTCATAAGATTTATTTATCCATCTTCACCCATTTTTTTTTTTTTTTTTTTTTTAATTCTGGTGACCAGAGCATCCCATAGTCTGAAAAAAGCAGTCTGATATACTTACTGTACTGTATTGGTCCGATTTTTTGAGGTGTTACTGTAGGCTATTCCATCTCAATACTGTACAGAATATCAAAATTTGGAAGGTGAAAAAGTTTTTGTTAGTGTATTCATCGTGACTGCCTTAGGGCGGGGTACCCCTTCCCCATGAATTTTTCCAATGATCTTGATAGGAAACCCAGTCTACCGGGACTGCCTTCGGGTTTGTAGACGTATCTGAATAACCACAAGCGATGGTGCTTGCGGTGGTGTAAAGACTGTGAATACAGCCCATAGTGTTGGCACTTTCTTAGACACTTTTCTTCTCTTTATTTGAGGCGAGTTAAAGGCACCTTCTTTCAAAGCAATTTTAGCAAGTATTAATGGTGATGGTAGGAGATGAAAGAAAAGTATGTTCATGTAGATGCCTTTTGCGACTTGACTTGACGTCTGTAGATAAGGTAGAAGGCTATTGCTTGTAATGCTGGGTGGGAGGGCCGGGATTAGGATTGGAAGTTCTTTGGTGGCAGTTTGGGGGAGGCGGGGATTGGTTTAGGATCAAGTGAAAGAGGGAGGAAATGTGAAGGAAAGTAAGAGATTGACAGTATCCGGGCTCAACCAGATATGCTGAGGTTATAATAATTATATTTTAACTTGCATCTTGCGTGATTAGGTTATAAGGTTCTAGCTCTCAAGCCTTTTTCATTTAGTTAAAAGTATGTTTATTTTGAGGTAGCCATTGTTTCAAGGAAGGGGTGACGACCTCTGGCCAGGTTCTTGTGGAGCTGGCTGAGCAACGTATCTTGTTTTAATAAGAGTGGAAGGAAGGGTCAAGAAGACGAGGGTTGGAGAGGCCAAGGATAGTGTCGTTTGGTCACTCTCATCTTTTAATGAAACATTTTTCTGTTTTAGAGAATTGAAGCGTTTTGTTTATAGTAGGGAAGTTTAATTTCTAAGAAGAGGTGTAGGATCCAACTTACTACTTTTGTTCACAAGGAGGTGGTCCTATCTTTTTGGTTTAATTGAAAGATTGAAGCTTGACTTGAAGGTACAGTATTTAATGGATATACAGTTCTTTTTGTTTTTGTATGGAATTTGATAATTTTTAGATATAATTTGGTATTGGTGGTGGGTTGTCGACTCTTATTCTGCCTAATCTGAATCATGCGTGTTCTTCTCTTGCTCTTTCTTAATGGTTCATTGTCGAGCCAGTTTGCTATAGTTTCTGAGTCTAACTCTCGTACTTTTTCCCATGTTCTTTTGGCTTGGATGTAGATGTCTACGTTTACTGCGTTGATGTTGGCTCTTCTATGTACAGTTGTACCCCACTTAACGCGGTCAATAGAACCCAGAGGGTCCCGTGTTAAGTGAAATCCGCGTTAAGTGAACAACAGAACATATGGGATTAATTCCAATAGAAACCGGCCCGACCCCCAAACTCCACTTTTTGAAGACATAACTATGTTGTAGTAAAAATAACATCTTAATTTTATGATGGTACATGCACACAATTAATACTTAAGAGAAATAGAGAAATACAGTCGCCAAGTTAATGTCCATTCAAATAATGGACTCAACTCCCTCCCCCTCTCACACTGCCGGCTCTTCCCTCTCTGAGAAATTTTTGGGGAAAACCACTAAATTTTAATAAATAATACCTCAAACTAAAGTTAGGATAATACAATTGACATTGCTGGATTCCTTGTAAGACCAGGAATATTTTGAATATAAATGTCATATATTTTGCACAAAAGATAACATATTTACTAGAGAAAAATTTTATCTAAAATGTTGTATATGATCAAAATGATCATTATAAGAATTCCAGCAATATAAATTATGACGGTATCACCAAAAGGAAGCCAGCAATGTAAGATACATGGCCGCTAAAATTTGTATGTCTAATTTATGATGTTTATATTCAAAATGATCATTATAAGAATTCCAGCAATGTAAATTATATTCAAATGAATTTTATGAGCTAAAACAGGCAGTCAGGCAGGGTGGCGGGTGGGGCAAATCTAAAAATAGCGTCTCGAGCCGGACACTCACCGCGTATATGTGGAAAAAATCCGTGTTAAGTGAAAGTTCAGCTCTGGCGAGGCACCGCGTATATGATAAAACGCGTTAAGTGAAACCGCGTTAGGCGGGGTAATACTGTAGTTCTTCGTTTGTTACTCTTTCTTCGTAACTGATGTTATATATGAATCTTAGGCTTTTATTTTGTACCATTTGAAGTTTCTTGATTCTCGTTGCACTAAATGAGTTGGTTGGTACAGGTGGGT